GGTTTGAATTTGAGACCCCGAACTGATTTCGTGGCTCGATATTGTATACGTTCCAGAGTATAATGATGTATTAAAACAAAACTAATAAGATAACTTATTGAACTAACTAGATAGCAGGAATAGATAGATCAGACATTCAAGAAGGCCACTTATGTTATAAGTGACACAAACGAACTTAATTCATTTCTCATAATCGTTATTATTATCTATATCCACCTTCATCATTACTGCAATATATCAAGTACCATATATTCTAATATCATACATGAATGGTTATAAAAAACCAAATTCTTTCATCTCTTATTATTGTTGCTTACTTAAACTGTTAGTAATATAATACAATTTAACTGAAATTTTCACTTCCTTGATAAATAGTCAATAAGTGGATCATATTACTTTATTAATAATTAATGAGGTTTCCAAAATGAAAGAAGTAATAGAACTTAGTCAAATCTGTGTAACATGATATGAACTAGAGGCAAGTGATTGAAAGCTGAAAGTTTTTAAATTCAAAAGAAGAACGTCATAACACTAATATTGTAGTGAACAAAACACTGGTTGGGGACAATCGAATGTATTTAAGCAAAGATTACAGACTATCTCAGTAAATTCTGAAAACCATACAATGTACAGTCAATTTGCAAATTAATAACCAATTGTTTCAATCTTCACTGTTTCTTCTCTTATTCCATTGCTCATGCATTTTCCAAACGATTGCGCTTCATTTCAGTTCTTTCCTCATCGGTCTTCTGCCAAAATACATCCTATGTCTGACCCACACCATATACTACTTATATAGATATAAGTAGACCACACCACAATATATATACATTACAAACCAATTTCATTTTTGGTTTTTGTTGGAGTAATCCAAAAAAAAATTCTCAAAATAGACATGACAAATTCAGGAAATATTAAGAAGTATTCTATCCAATCAGTGATTAATTAGAAGTTTTGCTAGAAATATCGTGAAAATGAAAAGTCACATGTAGAGGTTCTAAGTGGTTGATTACTAATGTGGTGTTGTCTACTTATATCCATATAAGCAGTATATGGTGTGGGTCAGACATAGAATGTATTTTGGCAAAAGACCGATGAGGAAAGAACTGAAATGAAGCGCAATCGTTTGGAAAATGCATGAGCAATGGAATTAGAGAAGAAACAGTGAAGATTGAGACAATTGGTTATTAATTTGCAAATTGACTGTTCATTGTTTGGTTATCAGAATTTACCGAGATAGTCTGTAATGTTTGCTTAAATACATTCGATTGTCCCCAACTAGTGTTTTGTTCGCTACACTAACACTGCTACTATGTTTAGTAGTATTCTAGAATTTTCAGAAAAATCCAAGGACTTTTAAAATACTATAAAAGCCCAATATTTTTGGTACATAAATAAACCTTTGGACTAAAGTGCTTCTCGTATATTTTACGCCTATTCTCCCATGTTCAATTTGCTGTGTAGTTCTAGGTTGGGGGTTAAGAGAATTGCTTAGAATCCGAGTATAGCGTTTAATTAGCAAAACTTATCTGTTTTAACAATCAATGGAGTCGTGGATGCACATAGGCAATTCTTATTATAAGCTTCATTTTGACCTATGGATTATTATTATCATACGAATAACTGTTCCTAAATTATATTCAGTTTATTGATTATTGTATCCCACGTTCACAGTCACATTTGTCTTGATCTCGTACAAATATTGTTGTCTATTTCATGTTGTGATGTGGTCTGTCTGTCTGGTATATAAACAGAGTATGTTTGAATTAAATGATTTGTATAGCAGAAGCTGTCATTGGTGTTTTAGACTCATTTGGAAGGGCTAGGCGGAAATGCGATCAATAAGGACGCTAGACTGCTCATACCGATTGAACGTCATTGATTTGGCACAGTGTTAAGATTGTAAAAGTCGTATTTCGTTTGATTGATAATTCACGTGATACGAAGCTGGACATAAGATCATAAGGAATTGGATACGGTCTTCTTATTTTATAGTTACAACAAATTGGCGATGGCCGTTTATAAAGTCACAACACAACCATTTAGGCAAATGTTCACACACCATAATTTTGAGATTACGATGCTCTTCCCTATGTATATGTGACCACACACATATTTAAATTGGTAAACACGGTGGGATATGAAGTTCTCGTTTACATATATTTTAGGTTATGGATGAAGCATAAACTTCGTTCTTTCTTTGATAATGACCTTTGATGCACAATAAGTTTTGTTGATGACTGATTTAGGCCTTTGTTTCAATAAAAGGCTCATCATTTGCAAAATTATGTTTGCAAAATTCATCCAAGAACTACAAGGTAACACAATGAAATCATTTCAGAATTCATTATTATAATGCATATTTATAGAAATAATATATGAAGACTTCTTTGAATCTTCGAAGAATTGTTTTCATAGTCTGGAGTATAGACCACCGACCAGCATTCTCTAACCCACTCTGTCATGGGCCTTCCCTACTTGTTCTATCCGGTTGTTGTTCATTGTTCTCATATCTGTTTCCATTTCTCGGCGTAGCGTGTTCTTTGCTCTCCCTCTTCTTCTTTGACCTTGGAGCCCCTCTGGGGTTACTGCCAGTCCCAAGCCTGGGTAAAGGAGGAGGGTTGTATATAGTGTCAGTGACCCCATTCTATATAAAAGTAACTCGCTAAAAAAGTGCTAACCAGAAAATCTGACCAAAAATGAATCGACAAAATTATTATTACTTTTCACTAAAACAATTCATTTCCAAATGGAAAATCAGCAATATAAATATACAGATGGAGTGCTTATGGGATCACCACTATGGCCAGCCTTAATCGATATTGTCATGTCTAACCTAGAAAAAATGAAACTAAAACATGACGTCTAGAAGACAACAAACTACTCCAGATTTGTTGATGAGACATACGTTATCCGTTATCACACTTCTCAGCTGCTTACTCACTTCAATTAACTCTCATCGAAAGACATTTATTGTGGAATTTAGAAAAGAACATTCTAAGGATGACAAACAAACAACTGTTGCAAAGAAACCTTTTTTCATCCATCTCCCGTTCAACAGAGGATCGATATGAGTATCAAAATGACACTAAAAGCAAGCTTCTCTGCTTCTCAGTTCGTTTCGATACACAAAACCAAGTGTTTGCTATATCATTCAAAGATAGATCGATACTCTTCCGATATCAAATCCAATTGCATCTATGGAATCACTTGTAACTGTGGCTTCAAGAATATAAGAATTTTGAAGCGTAAGAGATCAACTAAGTTTCCTGAACGTATTTCCAGTGTAAAAAAAAGATGACTTTTAAAGATAAAATCGGTCTAACTACTCATAATTACAGTGTCTTTACAAAATATGTGAACAGTACATCAAATATACTATATCCACATCTTTCTTAAATTGTATCTTTCAAACTCCATCGTCCTTTCATTCCAGTTATTATGTTAATTGCTTTCTGTTTTCCCTTTCTTTCTCTTCATTTCACCTTATCATCAGTAGGAATTCCACTTTAACTTCCCGGTACATACTACTTATATCTGTCCGTATCAGTAGTATACACCATACTAGGAACGTATGGCTAAAACCGAATTTACTCTTCACAAGTACAATTGCCAGACATCTTTTGAATAGTTGACATGAAGTAAATGTAAGTAATTCACACAAAATAATCAACGAATAGCCAATATCAATCTTACTCCATTTTGGACAACCTGTATCAAACATTTCCGACCTGAACTATTTATACGATGTGTGATTAGCCTTTCCCTGTCATGGTAACTGAACGCTTATCTAATAACTTTTATTTAGCTTTAACTTTTCAAATGAGTTTTTCAACCATCCACCCTTCTATTTTATTTTGATTAGATATTTGCCGTCTTCTTAGATTAATCGATGTTTACAGATCTTTCTACTTAAATCACTATTGAGTGATTACTCAACCCCTTATTCATTTCATACCCTTACATAACCTCTTTTTATTATAAATATGATTACTGGTAACTATAATGCCCATTCTACTCTGAATTATTACTTTTTAACATACTTTCACTACAGTTCAATTTATGAATCCATTAAAGGTGAACAACTATGGACAACCGGAAAGCACTGAGCGGCCGTTTAGTCCTAGTATGGGACTCGTCAGAAGTGCAATTCCACTGTATCATAGGTGAGATTCGAACCCAGGATATTCGGTCTACCGAGGAGGGCCGTTGACGTGCGCTGCTTTATTTAATACTATATTTTTGATAAAATATAGAATTCTCGGCATAAAGTATTTCAACAAGTTTCCTTTTCTTATTTGTTGATCAATCCTGACGATAAATATTGAGTCATCACCAGCTAGAATCTAGCAGTTCGGGAATCAGCATCTGAATAATTTACATTCTTATTCAATGCATACTGTCTGCCAGCTACCACGATGTCGCTGAATGTACTTTGTTCAGAGAATCTTGTTGTATGATATGATGTTAATTGATCTACTGGCAATCATCAGGGTAGTCTGCGCAAGGTCTATAAGTCGATTGATTACCAATAATTACAAATAAATGAACTTCTTATTAGTCCCATCTATTGTAGCCGCTAAATTATCACGTTTTCCGTTAAATCCGCTGTGAACTGATCGTACATGAGCATCAAGTACTGAAATTGGCGCTGTGACCTTGAAATCCCACAGACGTTACTGATTGGCTCTTCCATAAATTATAGTCTCGCCAACAACTCGATTTAAAAGTTGTGCAATGGACACCTCGATCGTTGGTGAAACTGCTCCTTCCAAAATGAATTTTTTTTTAGTTATGTTCAAATACTAAATATTAACGTAGCATCTATGTCTAACATGATGGAAGATTACACTCCTATACGACTAATACCATTTACGGTAAGTATCTGAATCATTTACAAATACAGAACAATTTACACACTATAGTATTTCTGTATTGTTTTCAAAGAATACTAGTCACATACAAAATTAACCTTTTGTATTCAACAATTCAGTGATATTCTAGAAGATGAATCTTCTTAAATGACCATTGATCAGTCCAATAACTATCATAGAGATTGATGAAATGGTCAACCAAGACAATTCCAGGGAGTCTAGATTGTGGGAGAAAAATAAAATATTTTTGGTAAATAATAAATTATCAGAAGGGGTTTTGTGGAGATTTAGTATTTTCATAGTTGAAAGCGTGGGTCAATTGAAGCTAGACCATCAAGGAAAACTTGGAAGCACTAGACAGCCGTTTCGTTCTATTGTGGAACTCCTCAGTGAGATAGGAACTCACTGAAGACAATTGGTGAACGGTTGCTCAACTTCGTGAATTGGTTGGAGTTATAAATAAACACTATCGAATGCCGGCTCAGTGGTCTATCGATTAAGTGCTCTGACGCGAGACTGGTAGGTCCTTGGTTCGAATGTCGCTAGGCGAGGTCGTGGAAGCGCACTGCTGTGGAGTCTCACAGTAGGACGAAACGGCCGTCCAGTGCTCCCCGGTTTTCCATGGTGTTCTTGCTTCAACTGACTCATACTTGCAACTATGAAAATAATGAATTCAAAACAAACATTTGGATCACTTAAAGTACCATCAACGGCTTTGTTGATGGATAGACCAACAGAGGTTATTCATATTGGTCAGAGTAAATTGTTAATTTACAATGGAAACAACAACTGAACGATCAACTAATGTATTGGTAGGTTTATATCCTCTCATAGTGTTCGTAAACGTTATTTCCAATCACAGTAGAGTAAATGATCAACTGAATAATTTCTGAATTAATCACTTACTGGCTGAACTCTTAGTTGTGGCTAAAATCATATGAAAAACAAAGTGAGTTTATAAATTGTGTTTTGAAAATTGTTCATGAAACTTCAAATTGTATAAAAGGAGTAATGATCCAGATGTATGAAATGTGTAAGATTCTCTAGTCTGTTAATCTGGAAATGGAAGATACATTCTCTGTTCTATTTGGCAATCATCTGTTAGATACATACATACTTCCTAGTGTTGGCATCCACATACTAGGATTCGAATGCTACACCCTTCACTTCAAACGCCAATGAGTTGTGTATTCACTGTTCTACTAAGTTCAAACAGTCACTTACTTGTTCCGAATGTGTAATGTGTATGCCATTTTCATCGATAGTGTGAATTATTCGATTTGTATTATTGAGGATTGAATACCAGTCGATCAATTCACACCTTTATTTATAATGATATGAGTGGAGATTTACTGATTTACTAATGGGAGATGATTCAATTTAGTATGAATTTTGCACTCACACACACACACATTTACTCAACTAACCATTTCATCAATCAAGATAGATTAAACTGAAATAACTTTTTCACTTCGTAGAGGGGAAATCACAGAATCCTAGTTCATGTAATAGTTCAAACTATTTGCTTATGATGTCAGAATACAAATAACACAAGTTCAGATTCATAAACAGAACACCAACTATTTCAATTGTCATCAATGGTAAGGAATTAGAACTTACTCGTTGTCCTGGCTACAATGAAATAGATTTTTGATTTTCACTTTAACAATCATAAATAATTGTTCAATAATTATGTAATTTATCCTAAACTGTGGTAAATACACATGTCACGTGAAATGCATCATAAACCTATGAACAGATCGTTTACAAGATCTGCATAACTTGACACTATTCCAGAACATGATCAGTTTCAGATGTCTGTTTATCTTGGAAAACTTTGATGATTGGTAGTTGTAAGAACTTTATCTGTATCAGTAATTTTCTCGGTTTACAGTCTAAAATATGTAATTATCAGACAAATGACAGAAAGAAAGTTCGAATCCAGTGAACAGAGAAAGTTTTTTCCACAATTTGAGCACACACTCATACTCATATGTGTTTACTGAAATTTGACTACTTCATTATTATCTTCAGATATCTGTTGACAAAGATGAACTGAATATACTAGGAACAATTGTATGCTCATGACTTATATTAACTTTGAAGACAACATCTTTGATGAACCTAACATTATAACCAATAGTTTTTCTTCAGTTTGAAGCTAATTCACCATCACAATCACTCTTTCAGATGACTACGTTTTAAAAATCATTTTGATACATATGTGTCATTAGTTCACTGAAAAAATGCCTTATCGTGTTGGTTAACAATGATATTTGTTGTCTGTCACTGATATGTTCTCTAAAATTCATCGATGTAATGAAAAGCTTGAGTCGAAACAATCTCTATCGAAATGATAATTACACAGCAGCTCTATAAGTTGATCCATCACAATTATCATCTGCCACATACTTTCATATTTACTACAAAAATGATTTATTTACTAAGATTTCTAATCATTTCAGTTCAAACATTAGCAAGTGGCTATGAGGACTCAGTGGCTGAATGGATAACGTTATGGAGTTTGAAGCAAACGGTATTGGGTTTGAATCCCAGAATGAACATCAACTCTGAGATGCAGGTACATCCAAATGATGAGTCGCAAATAAGATGGAACGTGCGTCAAACTGGATCCCACCACTAGCCACTATCCATCTTTGCTTATAAACATAAATATTTGAGTGATAAGTTACAATTCTATTTGAGATTGAAATATTTAGAAGGGATTGCTTACAATGTGTTAAAAGGAGTTATGTTATTCAGTGTTATCATATTGATTTATAGAAAATTGTAGTAGATAGTCAGTTACTGGCAAGTTAACTTATTAATAATGCCATTTACTGTGAAATGACAACTTGATTAGTTCAAGAATCCAATTTAATACAGACTAATGGCAAATCAGTCATGTAAGAATCTCAGATAGATAGTTCAACATTAACACCATTGGATGCCTGCTCAGTATTCTAGTGGTTAAATGGTCGCGCGCGTAACTGATAGGTCCTGTGTTCGAATGTCGAAAGGTGGGATCGTGGATTCTCACTGTTGAGAAGTCCTATAATAAGACGAAACAACCGTCCAGTGCTTCCAGGTTTTCCATGTTGATCTAGCTCCAATGGATTCATGATCTCAACCACTAAATTTACTATAATATCCACAAAACCCCTTCTGATAAACCAAATATATTGTGAATACAATTGCATAAATAAAGAGTTATAAAACATTTTCACATTAGAACTCACTTGTAGCTGAAACACAATTTCAATTATCATGTTTGATACAAGTCAATCTAACAATGATCAAAAGGTTACATGATAGACAACTACAAAATATCATTCATTGAACAGTTTTCAATGGAGAGGTATGTTTCATCATTAAGTGAACTAGAGATATGTGAGTTCGAGTGTGTTTTATATAATGAAAAGACCTATGAATTAGGAATTGATGAGTTCGTTCTTTGTCTCGGAAGATTATCTGATGGACCATCTACTGATAGATGTCTATCAACCTACACAATGATGAATGTATTTGCATCCTATTGACGAGTTCTAAAAGGTATGAGATGATAGTATCTAATTACACTAACAATTGATTGATTACTGGGTGGTGATCAATGTCATGCGTGTCAAGTCCTTCTTAGTGCTGATCGAATTCTATCGATCAACCACCCAGTGATCAATCAATTGTGATTACATCTCAGTTCTACAGGAGGTCGGTCGCAGCCCGAATAGCTCAGTGATAACGTCTCTGACTGTGAAGCTGAGTGACACGGGATAGAACACGTCAGGGAGCATCAGTTCCCTCAAGATTACAGGTATACCTTGCTGACGAGTGCCAAGTAGCACGAAACCCGGGTTCAGGGTTTCCTGTTGACCACCTCCAACTACCATCTTATCTGATTACACTATTAGACACAATTCAGTTTCATCAGATCTCATATTGAAATGATTCATTCAACATGTACATATTCCAACGGAGACTAATCAGTAACAGTTTTTGAATTCAGTAACAATGAATTGCAAATCAAAATACAATCCCAGTTGTTGGATTGTTAGGTATTGACTAAGTATTAGACATATAGAAGAACAACTTTAAGGTGATTGTAATCATTAGTAAATATCAATTATTGTTTAAAAGAACTTTTCGAGTTGTATGCCGGCTCAGTGTTGTAGTGTTTTAGCGCTCTAGCGCAAAACTGATAGGTCCTGGGTTCGAATCTTGCGAGACGGGATCGTTGATATGCACCGCTGAGGAGTCCCATGAAACGATCGTCTAGTGCTTCCAGGTAAACATCGATTCTTGGTCGACAATTCTTACCATACAACATATCACCAGAGTAAAGCCTTGATAGTTAGCCCGACCAACTCACAGTCCCATGTGTATGGCTGCCAAAGAAAACTTCGATTCTTGGTCGACTTTTCTTACCATGCAACAAATCACAAGAGTAAAACTGTGACGGTTGATTTCTGCTTTGTCATATTATGAACTTTTGTTACATTTTAAACATCCACCTCAATCTCATGTAACCGTTTGCAACAATAATAACGACAACTCAATACGAAGATTTGATGTGAGATGATGTATAAATCTCTGTTTATGTGTAAGGATAAGAACTAATGTAAATAAAACTTGATCTTAAGTATTATATACATATAGTATCAATAGGACATAAATTTTAGTCAACCTTAAGAAGACTGTAAAATGAATGATAGGTATATCTCATTGACGAGTTCTGAAAGGTACGAAACCATAATCTCTGATAACACTGTTAGACAGCTTCATCAGAACTCGTGTTGAAATGACAATACTTAAATGATTTATTCACCAAGATGTATATCGGAAACAAATTTCAATCAAGCTTACTAATATCATCATCGAATAAACCGGAACCTGAATATTAGAAAAGAGAAATGTTCACAATTACAATAACCATCAGTATTCTTCTTCTTATTCAATAGATTTACATAATAATAATAATACATCATAGTAACAATATTTAAGATTGACATCATTACCTTTTACATCTTGTACAATTGTCAACAATACAATTGTACTAATGAAAGTTAATAGGCGATGATGAGAATGATGCTGATGATGATAATGAACAACTGTAGTCTCCTTCATCTTCTACTCTTCTTCTTCTTCTTCTTCTGCTTTTTCGAAGTCTTCGAGTATTTGAGAATGTTCGTTGATTAGTTTTTATAATGAGACAGTTTTTTTTCGAACAAGAAGAAGAAGGAGAAGGAGGGGGATATTCGAATTGTTTACTTTGTTATATAATTCTTATGTAAATAAAATGAGAAGAAAAAGTGTAATTATATTAAGATAGTACGATTATGTGAATCTAATCAAATTTACATTATGACCTATTAATTATGTATTCGATACTTTATATACTACTTAAATTAGTAAAAAAAAATCGTATGTATAATATTTCTATAAATGTTATATGATAAGCGAAGATGAATAGTGGCTAGCACCAGAATCCAGTTTGACGCGCGTTTCGTCCTATTTAGGACTTATCAGCTGGACTCAGTAGCTGAGTAGATAACGTGATGGCGTTTGAAGTGAAAGCTATTGGGTTTGAGTCACAAAGTGAACATCAACCATGAAATGCAAGTACATCCAGTTGACCAGTTCCAAATAGGACGAAACGCCCGTTCTGGATTTCACTGCTAGCCACTATCCATCTTTGCTTATAATGCTTGTGAATTAAGGCTATATCAAGGCAATACGCACAGTATGCACATATGGACAATAAGAGACTGACCAGTTGCAGTCCTAAACATCGATGGGAAGATATAAAACAAACAATATTAAGTGAATTTAATGTTTTATGATATTTTTACTAGTAATAAACGCTAAAGAATTGTGAGAAGATAAGGTTTTGAATCTCTTGAGGTGGGATCATAGATGTGCACCGCTGAGGAGTCTCACAATTGGACGAAACGGCCGTCCAATGATTCCAGATTTTTCATGGTTATCTAGCTTCAGTTGGCTCATGATTTCAACTATAAATTAATTATATCAAATATAATGTTACATTTCCATAAGAGAGTTCTTTTTTTCAACAAGGAGAATTGTAGATTAGATGTTATTCAGATCATAACATACTTCACTTGCATATAGGGTACCTTGAAATAGAAATCCACAGATTAGTTCATAATAGATGAATTCCATGAAGAATGGAGTTTGAATGCGGTACAGTATATATGTAGAACTGAATGTTGACCTTCGACAATTAGATTTATTTTTATCAGTGATAGTTATTGTTTTAGACTCTGTTGTAATGTGATTTGGATTTTGCATTTAGACAGTATCATATACACATAATTTAGTTGATTACAGAAATCAGTAGATCAGTAAGATAGCTGATACCATGATGTGATGATTGGGTTTGCCTATTGCTATGACCCAAAATGAGCTATATTGACTGGAAAACATATTCTCCTACGTTCTAACTTGCCAGGCAGGTCAGCTGGAGAACGGTCAGAGTAGAAGCTGATACTTGAAGTCCTATAGAGAAGTCGTACTGCTGACTATAGAGGGATTTGACAGCATTAAGATGTTTTCCTCGCATAATCAGCATCTTTTGTGATCCTATCTTCTCATAACAAAAGGAAAATGTTAGAAAAGGTCGACTCAAAAAATTTCACACCTGACCTTACCCTACGGATTTCCGTCTCCGGTGGAAAGGCCCTTTAACTGAAAAGCTAACACATCAAAAGATTCTCATAAAAAAGTCGTGTGCGAGCGGCCTCAAGTAGCTGTCTCTTAGGCTTTGTGGTCATGATCCCTGGTCTCTAAGACCGCCACTGAACCGCATTCTTTCTCAGGTCCCCCAAGAAAAAATATTTTTCCAGTTTATGGGCAGTTGGGAAGTGACAATCACACTCGTACATTTAACAGCACCTAAAATTACCTTCCTCACGATCAAATCCCCCCTTACTTCCTAATAATTCTTTCATCCCAACGACCAACCTTGCTGGTATATTTTTATTACCACGCGCCACCAGTGACAATGATTTGGGCTCACGAAATGTTATCCATGGTCTCCTGAAACTATGCTCTAAATTACATGTTGGATCTAATAATGTTCAAACCCTGTGTCAAGTAGGACAACAATCTTCTTTAGCTACCAGTCTGGAATTTTGCGTGGTCTGTGTACTTCCCGTCCCCAAAATGCTTATGCGGGATCCGAGTACAGTCCTCACCTTTTCAATACTATGAACCGACACGATTTATTCCTCGATTATCTAGAGAAAACACTTCTACTTCTCGTGGCCTTGCTGGTGTGGGTAAAGCATTGAGTTTAGAACCAGAAAAGAATCTATTGGACTAGATTCTAATAGACAGTCGCTTGTTCGCTGTCTGACTAAACGGGACGATAAGAACTTGAAAAGATAGGGACACATGCGGTTGTCTTTTAGTTTCCTCTACCTGCGCTGCCACTGCTTCCACTTCGGATGAAGTTAAACATGAATTTTGATAGAAAATTAACCAACCTCCTCCAAAAAGCTAAACGCTCTGATGTAGTAGTTGTAGAAGATGATTTTGATGCTCAAGTAAGTAAACTAAATCAAACTGAAAGAACTTTAGGCGGGTCTTGCAATATTGTGGCTCAGAGGGCAGATAATGGTGACCCCCTTTTGCAACTATGCTTAGAAAACCAACTTTAAATATAAGGAAAAACATCGTTTATTGTGGCGACCTCCATAATTGACCAATCAATGGACTCAAATTGACCACATTGCCATTAGTCACAATTGGAAAGACACATTTTTAGAATCAGATCATGCTCTAGTTTGAGCCCACATTTATCTGCGTCTTTGTACATAAAGAATCACAGCAACAAAATCTCTTAATGATGAAAAAGTTAAGGATATATTTCAAGGACAACTATAGAAGGAGCTAGTCGACGGTGAAAATGATATCCATCTTGAGGCGGCTTACATTGATATTCAAAAGGTTGTGGGAATAGCAGTAATATCTACAGGTAATTTTAACCAAAAGGTTAAGAAAATGTAGTGCAGTTTAGAGGCATCTACTCAAATGATAGATGCAGGGAAACTCATTCTGTATGGCTCTGAATGCGGTGAGGAGCAGCTTAAATGTAGGTTGATCAAAGGCCTACGCAATGATTGTGAGAATCGGTGGGTAACGAAAGAAGATGAGATGGAAAATGCAACATCGACAGGCAACAGTAGACGATTTTTCAGACTTATCAAGGAAATGGTGATTAAAGGTATGGCTGTTAGTAAAACTGTTTTGGAAAGTGACGTGAATATTATTCACTCTCAATCCAGAAGATTGAAAAGATAAGGAGAACACTTTTGGTGACATTTCAACTGGCCTTCAGTCACACTTCAGCCACCCACTATCTCCAAGCAAATTGAATGCCGAATTGATGTAAGCCTTCCAACTTTTAGTAAGGTTGAAAAGGCTATGACCAATCTAGAGTGAGGCAGAGCAGCAGGGTCTGATGGACTAACCCCTGAGACTTTTAAGGATGGTGGTTCGGCTTGAGCATTTGGATTAACTGAAATCTTAGCTAAAACCTGGGAACCAGATGCAATTCCATCCCACTGGTCTCAGTAGCTGATCTTCCCAGTCTATAAGAAAAGCTAAAAATCCTCTTGTGACAATCGCAGATGATTCACTTTAATTAACATAGTGTCTGAAATATTCTTCCCAATAAAACTTTAACATCTCACTGGAGCTCGTAAAGAGCGTAACCAAGAAAACCAGGCTGGTTTCTGAAGTGGAACTGAATGTATAGACCACATATTCATCATTCGGCGGTTTCTAGAGTAAAAGCATATGTTCAACGTCCGACAACAGTTATATTTCTTGATCTTAAGGCGGTGTTCAATTCTGTTGATCGTGAGGTTCTGTGGCAGTGTCTATCAATGAAAGGATCACTAAAGACGTACATTAACCCTACATAGTCTCTTTACTCCAACACTGCTGTTCGAGTCAGAGCATATAGAGAACTGTCATCGGAATAGGTTTACTTCGAGTGGTGTTTGTCAAAGTTGTCCACTTTCTCGATTTTTATTAACTTTGCCATAGAGACTCTTTTGAAAATAAGCTTTTCATCGTTTGACTTTTTATGAGTTGATCTACCAGGAGATTAACCTGTTGACTCAGAATATGTAAATAACATGCTCCTGTTTGGTGGAGACTGTAAATGAATGTAGTTTTTCGACCACTTTCATTATTAATGCAAGCATGTTTGGGAAGGGGTTCTCTCCTTCCAAATGTAAAATGTTGCTTCAGTAGTGGCATATGTCAGAGCCTGAATTAATGATAGGAAGTGAATTAGTCAAGTGTGTCAACCGCTCCACTCATCTTGGAAGTCTCATCGATTCTGACGGGCAGATATCTGACGAAATCTCGGCAAGGATTCAGAAAGCTTGACTGGCTATTTCCAAATCGCCTCAATTGTAACGTAGGGAAGATATCCATCTGTCCAACATTATGAGTGTGAAACATATCCATTAAGAATACAGTATGTTCATAGGTGTTTTCGAAGTATTGCTCGTGTATTTTGGGATCATGGAGTGTGCACTGCATGGATTGGAAACAGAATACTAGATGAAGTTGGGAATTCAAATTATGAGGTAGCAAATCTTCATTATCCAAGTTGGTTGGTACGTATGTTACATCTGTTCAACCCACAACAAGTGGTCATTCCTCTGACGAAGTTCACAAAAGATTTCTGGGTGAAACATTGAAATTAATTCCGATTTCAATTGATGAGATTATTTCTGATGCGACGGAATTAAAAAAAAGACATTATTTAGATCAATATTTATTTTATCTAATTCATTATGGGTTTCTTCTAGAGTGACAGGTGCAAACTTCGTTCAGTATGACGTTTTGACGTCAATACTTCATGTATCAATTCAGTTGAAACTTTGTTCTATACGACAAGTGTGGACTGTCGTTCAGTGTGACAATTATCTTCCCTGTATCAGTTAAAGTGAAGTATATTTAATGAGTATGTCTTTACAATAACTCTGTGTATTTCCCTCTTATGTGATATTATTATGTAGATATAATGTTTGGTATATAAGTTATTGATCAGAAGGGGTTTTGTGGAGATTTCAGTATCTTCATAGTTGAAATCATGAATCGATTGAAGGTAGACCATCATGGAAAACCTGGAAGCACTGTACGGCCGTTTCGTCCTATTGGGGTACTCCTCAGTGGCAGTGCGCATCCACGACCCCACCTCGCGAGATTCGAACCCAGGACATATCAGTTTCGCGCGCGAGCGCTTAACCACTAGACTACTGAGCCGGCATACAACTTGAAAAGTTAGTTTGATCATTTCAATACTTAGTCAATACCTAACAATCCAATAACTGGAATTGTAATTTGATTTGTATTTCATTGTTATTGAGTCCAAAGACTGTAATTGGTCAGTCTCCATTGGAATATGTGCATGATGAATGAATCATTTCAATATGAGGTGTAATGAAACTGAATTATGTCTAACAGTGTAATCAGATATTCGCATTTCGTACCTTTCAGAACTCGACAACTGCACACACCTATAATTCATTTTACTGTCTTCCTAAATTCCATGATGGTCTAGCTTCAATTAACTCATGATTTCAACTATGAAAATATAAATGATTGTATTTTGGATTTGTTTAGGGTCTTTCTTTTGGAGTCCATAATTATTCATTCTTAGTGCTCTTACTTTGCATCGAGAGAAGTACAATGGTTCATGTTTTCCAGTATAAAAAGAAGAATCCAGGAATTCTGGCAGTTCTCGACTATCATTTAAAAGCAGTACGACTACTGACTTAACTGAATCGATACGTACATAACATCGACGAACTCTCAGATATTACAATTGGCTTTGTCGAGACAATAATGACAACGCAGAAATAACACAATTAACAACCTCTTTACAACAGTTTCAGTTAATGTCTTTTATCTATATTCGGTGACTAATTTCTGTCAAACTGTCCATTCAATATTGATGAATACTTAGAGAAACATAGTGAGTCTAAATATCTTTATTGAATTTATGAAATCGAAGGTCCTGGGTTCAATTCCCGCTTATAGGATCATGGATACTCACTTCTGTGGAGTCCTATATTAAGACAAAATGGTCATTCACTGCTTTCAGGTTTTTCAATGATGGTCTAACTTAGATTGACTTATGAATTCAACTTGTATAAATATTAGTTAAATTTACGTAAACAAAAAGATAACTCAATATTTACTCTATTTCTTTGAAGTAAAAATCTTACGTTATGTTTAATTTCTCCGTACCCGCATACATTCGAACATGTGTACATCCATCCATCCATCCATCCATCCACCCATCCATCCATCCATCCATCCATCCATACATACATACATACACACATACATACATACACCTAATATGCATCCCTATAAAATCATGAATGTGAACCCTCCCCTACACACACATAGGTAAATTTGATGTACTGTACTACGATTAATTAAACCATGGAACATCGAAAGTTATTTCGAAGATTCTAGAATATGCACAGTTTCCTTTTTTTTTCTTTTTTTTTCAAAAATCTTTTTTCTTTGGTTAAATTATCCGAATTTTATTGACATTAGAATTAAATATCAAAATAAATACAAAAAAAGGAAAATTAAATTAGTAAACATCAAATCAAATATAAGCAAAGACGGATAGTGGCTAGCAGTAGAATCCAGTTTCACGTACGTTTCGTCCTATTTGAGACTCATCAGCTGGATATACCTGCATCTCAGAGTTGATGTTCATTCTGGGACTCGAACCCAGTACCCTTCGCTACAAATGCCATCTCGTTATCTACTCTGCTATTGGGTCCTGATAGCCACTTGCTTGTGCAATGGGATGAAGTCCCAGAATGATTATATATATATAATGCATCGTATATGACATACATCAAGGTTTATTCGAATATATATGCATGTATGAGATTGTTCAACTGATCTTCAGGAGTAGCTAAACTCCTAAATATAGATGTGTGTGGCAAAACAAGATAAGGAAGAAAGCTATATCGGGCACATATTCAGGCAACTTAGCCAATGGATTTGTAAACATAACTGTTATGAATTTATAAAGACCGTCACCAATTTGTTGTGATTTTATGCCCAGCTTTTATCATGTGCATTATCCACCAATCGAATTTCAACTTATCCAATCTTAGCACTGTGCCAAATCAATGACGTTCGACCAGTATGAGTAATCTATCGTCCTTATTGGTCCTTTGTCCGCGTATCCCTTCCAATTGAGTCCAGAACACCAATTACAGCTTCTGCTATGCGAATCATTTATTTCAAGCGTACTCAGTTTATTTACCAGACAAACAGACCGCATCACACCATAAAATAGAAAATAATATTTGTATAAGATCAAACTGAATGTGGCTGTGAATGTGGGAGACAGTAATCATTAAACTGAGTATAATTTAGGGACGGTAATTCGTATAATAACAATCCATAGGTCAAAATGAAGTTAATGGTTAGAGGAATATAGATATACACAATCTAGTTACTCAATAGTTAAACCATAAGAATACATATAGAATAATAGTCCATGAACTGATGCCGGAAGTTACCCGTACTTATATCTTCACTAGGATATAACAATCACTTTGGTGTTTCGAAAAAGGTCTGATTAAAACAATATATAACTCCATTCTGTTATAACTAGTTTATGATGCTTATTTTTCGCAAGAACATCATCTGACTTATTGAACAATAGTTTTAGTGATCACTTCATGTTAAACGATAAGATTAAGTATTTGGAGCGAAGTGGGGATGACCATGAAGGTTGTTCTTAATTTCATCGTTGACTGATTTTAGTTAGTCGTGTGCTAATTTCAAGAGTTATAATGAGAAGAAGTGACTAGTGGAGTTCGATAATGTCAGATAAGAGACAGTTATTCACCACAGGTAATGGAAGATAGTGGTTCAATATTGCAAAATCACTTAAGTTAGTATGTAAAAACACTGTATGGAGAAACAGTGGTCTAAAAGTGTTTCCACTGAGATCAAAGGTCGTGAATATGATTCTTCGTGGGTTCATGTACCGGCAGTGTTAAGCCCTATGCTACGACAAAACAGGTTTCTAGTTGATCCAATCGATCGATCGCTAATTGATGATTAACGTTATATTCGTTTAGCCTAATAGTGTTGATCAAATTGTGTCAGTAGAGTTGCAATATGACCATTGGTCTATATGATTCAATTTCAACTGCACTATGATTTAGTATTAAGTGATTGGAAGTTTCTAACAGAAAACCCTGCTTGACCTAGGCTTCGTGATAAGTGGTATTAACCAACAAATCATACTTGCATTCTTGAGGAAACTATTGCTCACTAGTTGACTTGAATGTGTCACCTGGCTCTACAGTCTACGAAGTCATCACTAAGGTATTCAAGTCACAAATACCATCTATAAAATCAGCAGAAATTCGAGCTGACATCTAAGGAATTGAAAATCTACGCGATAACTGTCATACTAAAACATCTTATATCCAATCTCTCATGAGATGTGGGTAGTTCACTTTTGATAAGCTTGAAACTAGAATGAAATATCTGTCGTATGTCTTATAATTCTCCATGCTTCTTCAGATAATACGTTACTATGATAAAATATCTACTTTCATAGTTAAAATCATGAGTCAATTGAAGCTAGACCACCATGGAAAATCTGGAAGCATTGGACGGCCATTTCGTCCTATTATGAGACTCCTCAGCAGTGCGCGTCCACAATCCCGCCCCGCGAGATTCGAACCCAGGATCCATCAGTCTCGATAGACTACTGAGCCAGCCGGGATCCCACGATGTTAATGTTTAACTTTAACCAATACACGAAGTTTGAGCAACCGTTCACCGCTAAGTGCTCTGGCGCGACACTAGTAGGTCCTGGGTTGGAATCTCGTGGGGCGGGATTGTGGATGTGCACTACTGAGGAGTCCCATAATAAGACAAAACGGCTTTCCAGTGCTTCCAGATTTTCCATGATGGTCTACCTTCAATTGACTCATGATTTCAACTATGAAAAATACTGAAATTTCCACAAAAACACCTTTTAATCTAAAATCTCTATTCACAAATATTACTTCTTCCTAAAACAAAAAAAAAGCATTAATTCCATAAATAGTATATATGAACTATTAAGGGGTCCCATACTATAACAAAACAAATATAAATATCTAAGCTAAAGTCACTCACTCAATCCATCAATCACTTAAAATACAAACATAAAACAATATACTACTGAATAAGTTTAAGAGTAGTACAATTATATAAAAAGATCATTAAAATAACTTCAAAGGGGGTAATAAATAAAATTAAAAAAATTCTCAACTATAAATCACTTTTTTCTTTATAATAACAAATGCAATCAATTTGAAGAATAAGAGTTTATCATTGTACTATTGAATCTGTATTGTATGGATTAATGGTATCATTCATTATAATAGATGAATTATTATAATTATGATATGAATTGATTAGTTCCAAATTGACAGTTTGTCCAGTTTTAGCCTATTTAGTGGAAGTAATAAAAAATCAAAGGTGTAACAGAAATTTGAGGTTGATATTGATAAAGAAAACGGTATGTGATGACTTTTAGTCTAAGATGCATTGGTTGGTGCAAACTACTTGATCAGGGTGTGGTGAACAAGAACACGAGTGGGGACAATCGAATGTATTTGATCACAAAATTATAGAATATCTTAGTAAAATATGAGAACCATAGAGTGAACAGTTAATTTCCAAACTTCAATCAATTGAAAGTGATTGATCACTGGGTGGTGATCAATATCATGTGTGTCAAGTCTGCCTTAGTGCTGATCGAATGCTATTGATCAAGTTGCAATGTGGCCACTAGTCTAGATGACTCGACACTGCGTGCACTATGTTGAGATAAGATGGTGGTTGGAGGTGGTCAACAGGAAACCTTTGCCCCCGGGTTTCATGCTACTTGGCACTCGTCAGGAAGATTTACCTGTAATCTTGAGAGAACGGGTGCTCCCTGACGGGTAGCATGGGATAGCATTCGATCAGTACCAAAGAGGACTTGACACGCATGACATTGATCACCATCCAGTGATCAGTCAATTGTGATAAAATCTCATTCCTAAAGGATGTCGGTAACGTCTCTGACTGTGAAGCTGGGAGACACGGGATCGAATCCGTCACGATGCACCATTTCTCTCAAGATTACAGGTACACCTTGCTGATGAGTGCCAAGTAGAATGAAACCCGGATCCAGGGCCTCCTGTTGACCACCACCATCTTATATCAATCAATTGCCTTAATCTTGACCATTCCTTTTTGAAATATCACTCCATCGTCTCTAATTTCATTGTTCATGCATTTTCATACAGATGTCTGCATGTTTTTACTATTCACCATAAAACTAATGGCTTGTTCAAACTCCTTGGTTACCGTTTTTCTAAACGCACATTTATTATCATAAATTTTCCTGTTCAGACTTATATCAATTCACTAATTATATATTTCGAATGGACATTTTCAAGATTTTCTATAAAATGTTTTGTTATATCTTGAACTTAGACTCTTAGTGTGCTGCGTATAACTTGAGCACTCGAATGCTAGAACCCTTCCAAGTCTCAAGATGAGGATACAGAAGACCAGCAGAAGGAATATTATTCCAAACAGTGTCAATTATGGTACAAAACTGTCATCATTTTAGTTATCCAAAACGCACACAGGGAGGTATTTAACATTTGTCCAATATGGAAGTTACATGTGTGACTCTGGAATATCTTTCCTAAAGCTGATTGGATGGAATATGTTCGACTCCTTCTGAGCTTCTTAGAACTTCCTCAAGTTTACCTGTGGACTGTCTTCACATGTTTACAACTTATTGTGAATTCAATTATTGAGAAACTCAACAAGTATCACAATGGTTGTTTGTTATAATTTCTTCATCCATTGGTGGGAATCAGCACGTTCATATATCAAACAGGGCACGCACGTACTCACATGTTATAACAATTATATTACTCAGTCAATGTATGGAAATGATTTAGTGAACTTTCAAGTAGTTTATTATTCTTTTTAGCAACTTGAACTGTGAAACGATGGGGAAAAGTTTAAGCCCACATAGACGCTTAAGTATTGTTGTATTCTTTGAGTTGGATGGCTAAAATGTAAATTCTGGACAATTTCACTAGTTCTAACATCAGATAGAATTCAGCTTATTAATTGTTCGACAAGTATAAGGAGATTTGGAGAGATTGTAGAATTTCTGTCATTTAAACTCCAGATTCTGGGTCGTGGATGCATGTTACTGAATAGTCCCACAGTAGGACCAAACGGTAGTTCAGTGCTTCCAAGTCTTTAATGATGGTCTTACTAAGATCGATTCGTGATTAAGACTAAATATTCCGTTACTGTTTAATCAATCCCATATACAGAAGAAGTCAATTGATCATATAATCATAAAGTTAGAAATGACCAAAACCCAATCATAAACGAGGTTACCGGAGTGAACTTGTGGAGTAATTCTAAAACGCTCACTTCTACATTATGTTATCTACAATAATAACTGAAGCTTAGCAACTACATTAATCCCTATAAAAAAAACATCAACTGTGTAGGTTGTGTTTTCTTACTGATTGTGCCTACCCTTCTAACAGCATAAATTTCATTAAATCTCTTCAGTATCATAACAACTGGAAAGAACTGGAAAGGATTGCCCAGGACAAGGTTGGATGAAAAATTCTGGTGTGCCGCCTTTACTCCTCCAAGAGGGGTAACAGGCGTAAGTAAGTATCATAATGAAAGATAGAGGGTACTACATAGATTTATTTTCATCATTAAAATGTTAATTTTCTTCTTACCTTTTTGTAATCAATCATCATTTCTTTGAATGCAAGAAAATCTGTGAATGTATACAACATTTCAAATATTTCACCATCTAGACAGTTACTGTTGGAACTGTGTAAAAGAGAAGAAGACATACACATATACAAATAAAAAATCAATCAAACAATAGTATTGCGGTGTGTGCTACTGATATCAATAGATATAAGTGGTATGTATCATCAACTGAAAGTGAAATGCCTGGTAGCAGAAGGTTAAAATGATCAAAGAAAAGAGAACGAGAACAGTGAGTGATCGCTGTGGAAATGAAGGGACAGTAAAGTCTGAGACGATTGACTGATATTTGCAAAGGAACAGTCAAGTTTGAAACAATTGATTGACATTTTTCAAATGAAGTATTTACTTTACAGTTCTCAAATTTTACTAAGTTGTTCTGTAATTTGTGTGTTCAAATACATTTAATTGTCTCCACTTGTGGGGAGAGTCCGCTCTCCCTCTCGAAATGCTCTCACATGGTTATGCGCATATAGCTTCTGTCATGGAAGTCCTACTCACTGACTTCTCGCTCCACGGCTGTTGTTTACGAAATTGAGAGGACGAAAAGCGAATGTCCAGCGCTTTAAGCGGGTTGGTGAACACGGACATTTCACCTAGGGAAGTTGGAAAACCTTTATTCCAAACCAATGGTGCACATGGGCTCCAGTATCCTGAGGGAACAAATAATATATAAACCTATTGTTGGTCACCGACTACCATGGGACTGCATCTCCTCCACTGCCTTGTGGATCAAACTTTCAGGTCAAAGTCTCCGGGTGTGGCCTTCTGAGAAAACCACTTGCTTCAGTTTGGGCACCTGGGCAGTATCACAGCCCTCACACAAATCAAATGAGATTTTTGTGGCGCATATATATCTGATGCTTCCTTGTACCAATATTTATGTGTTTAAGTAAATAAATAAATGCTTTAATGCAAACTTAATTTGTTCTATGAAGCTGTTCACCTCTACTAATGTTTCAGCTCTAAGCTTGTTCAAGTCATGGTTTGTGTATCTATTTAGAAAAATGAAGTGTAAAGATAATGCAAAATGTTTAACAGATAATAGTTATCATAACCTGATTGAAAAATTGAGCGTTCTACATGAGATCTGAATATTTTGGATTGGATCTCGAGTCAGTGAGCACAATAGAACGATAGACTATAGAGTTCGAACTACTCAGCTTTCAACCTATAGGTTAGAGACTCAAACGGTGCTTCGTCTATATCAGTTTAAGAAATCGAATAGTATAGCTAGTACGCAGAAAAAAAGTAATATAGCTTAAACTTGAGTGTATGGATCAGTACTTGATGAATGAGTTACGTTTACTCACCATAAATTTATAATAAATATGAAAACACAGACCATAAGTGAAACAAGATACTATCGCTGATATTAGTGAAAGTATACAAGACAAACTTATATTCACTTGGGGAAACTTAGAAATTCTAGAAGCAGCAGCAAGCAGCGATTTGGAAGACTCTTCCGGCCTCCTAAATTGCCCGGACGTTCCATGTACCTATAAAAATTGTTGCTCCGATTGTTAGAAGGTGCATCGGCCTCATGACTTCCGAAAGAACTCAGCTTTCATCATGAGACGTCATAATTATTCCTTCAACTTGAATGGTTTGAATAATTTTTTCTGGTTAGCGTTTTTTTAGAGGGTTAGTTTTCTACGAGATGGGGTCGCTAAGCCCATGTCCAACCCCCTCATTTATCCGGGCTTGGAACCAGCAGTTACCTTCGGACGAGCTACAGGCGGAGCACATCAACATAAATTCAATATATAAACTTATACGAAAGAAGTCAATCAACGAAAACTCAATTGAACAGGACAATGAACTTGAATATAAAGACCTACAAAGATCTCCAATTACAAATAAAAATCCATATGTATATACACTTACACTAAGTTATCTATAAATGAACGTATTGAAAAATGAGGTATTCTTTGACATAATTGCTCTTCCAGCATTCGTTCAACTGTATTAATCTATAAAAATTATATTTGATCAATAATTTAGATTGAATCGATGAAGATGAAGATAAAGTAAGGAAAGAAGAAAATAACAAAATTTATTTACATATTTCTCATGAATTTCTGTATAACAAAATTTATTCTCTTCATTTTCATCAAATTCATTGTAATTTTCATTCATAAATTGATCTTGAATACTTTGAAAGTGATTACCTATTTTGTTTTTTTAAGGATTAGAATAAGAAAGTAGAAAAATGTAAACGAGTAAGTTACTTAAAAAGTAAATAGGTAGAATAAGTCACTTTATAAGAATTTTTTACACTAAACAATGAACTTCATTATTCTGTCCCATAAATATGAGAAGTGAGATTTATTTTGAAAATTTTACCCCCATTATTGGATAGATATGAGTCGCGTCTCCGTTTTCATTGTTAACTACATCACTTTGAGTAATCGGGCTCTCCAGCTGTTTTATCGTCTAATGTTTCGTTGTTTTCACATGATCACTTTCGAAACCGGGACAGAAGGAAATCTTACAGAGGATAACTCAAGTGAAGGATGATCTGACTTGAAAATGAAATTGCAGATCAGGAACTGTATACAATCACTGTCCGCGTATTTATTGTACAGGTTATGTGGTTGTAAATAGATAACAGTTTTTCTCGATCACTAGAGTTAGACTGACTTAAGGTTGTGCCTTTGATTATTTGTCGAGATGTGGCATAACTAAGAGAGTGGTGGTTTTTTAAGATGATGAAGCAACATGAAATGACTTAAAGTGGACAAAACTGGAATACACACGGTAAAAGTTTGCGAATGTTAGATTATTTACTTTAGAAACAGATAATCGAGTACACGCCACATAACCTGATCTAATTTTAACAAATTATACACAACTATCACATATCTATCATGAAAGGAAAATCTCTCTAATATTGATAATAACATGGAATAGATAAATTAGATACTGCTTTAATACAAACTTGTAAAGTGTCTTATAATTTTTATACCGGTTTGTAGAGATTGTTGAAATTTATAGTTTAACATCACTAGCTGATCTCGGTTAGACAACCATTAGAAACTAAGAAGCACTTGACAGCCGTTTCGACCTAATATGGGACTCCTTGATAGTGTGCATCGATGAATCTGACGCAGGGGGTTGAACCCAGGGCCTTCGACTTTACGCCAGTATCCGATAGTGTAGAAGTTTAACTTTAATCAATGTGCGATAGTGAGTGATGAACTTTCTTTACCAGAATACAACAACTCTCGCATCCTCTGGTCACAACTTCCACTAGACGTCTTGGAACTACTTCGCAAAGATAGTCACTAGTGAGAACATGATAATTATTAGTATAGGGACTTGGTGAGTATTGTTAACTTTTCATAATTAGCCTTACAACTGATCTTGGTTAAACGGACATTAAGAACTATAACGTACAGGACAGTTGTGGTCTGGAGGTTAAGTGCCCACTACGAGACACGAAAGTCTTGGTTTAGATCCCCGGTATTCAGGTCGTAGTTGTGAACTCCTAAAGATTAACATACCAAGACAAAAAAGCTGTTCAATGCTCCTCGGTTTCCAATGGAAATTTAACTAAAATCGGTTCATGGTGTGAAATATGGAGTCTCTTACACTTAAATGTAAATACTCTTACTCATTATTATCTCCTCTAAATGTCCAACAACAATATCGAAATCCGACGACGGTTCTTGTGATCTGTCCTAATTATGATAACTTTAAAGAAAAAACAAACCCGAAAAATGGTTCTTCAGGCACATTATCATTTCCATTGTCTATTTGTGAATCTGAAGAAAAAACAAACAAACAGCATAAAACTTTTCAATAATAATATCATCACATATCCATTAGCAATGACTTCGTTTAAAGATGAGTTCCTAAGCATCTGGTGAAATGTTATGGCTTATGAGGTTCAATCACGTTAAAAGTGAATTATTCATCAACAATACGCTTAGACGTGATAGTTGTTGTGAGCAAGTGTGAGGAGCTTTTTCACTTCAGGATCATTAAGACATTCACAGAAACGAACAAAAACTCGTGTCTTATTTTAACAGATACTCGTGGGGGTTGGAATTAGGATTTATTATAAATATTGTAATACTCGGTAATGAATGTTGATGCTAAATGAATTTAATCTTTCCAGAAACAACATATATCTTAACCATTGCCTGAGCATGTATAGGGTTTTCTCACTGCAGTCAGGTTTGCTTTTCCATCTTAGGCTTTTGAGTATTTTGGTAAGTCCCTAATTATATGAGCATTTTCTAAGAAACTCTATAGTTATATGTATATATATAACGAAGACATTACATTTGAGCTAAAATAAAGTTGAAAAATGGCAATATTTATGCATTCTCGCCTAATTGTACGGCAAACTTTCATGAATATGCCCTCTTAATTTCCCGCAAGTTCGCGTTCAATGTCATAGTAATATATATGTTTTGAGGCTTTTTAGTATTATTCGAAGAGACTGATATAAAACCGTAAACTGGTCTTCACCTTTTGATCTTGCCAAAACTAATGTGCAAATAATGACAGAAGCCGATAAAAGTCTACCAATTGTATGTAAATAATCATGATAAAAACGTGGAGAACTCTTACTAACCGCCCAGCTCCATAGACGCTGAAAAGTAAGTATGAGTTGATGAATTAAAACAAGTATATAAAGTAATCAAACGGACAAATTATATGTTTTAAAACCACTTGTTTTTGTAACGTGACTTTACATAATTATGGTTTTTGGACAAATATGCTGAGATACTTGAGAACATTAGTCCAAATCTTGAGGGTTTATAGTAACATTCAAGGAGTAGTTTGATTACAGCGATCTAACATTCAACTAAGAGAAATCTTCACCAGCTTTCCTGTATCGTCTGACTTCCGAAATGTGCTTGGTGTTCCTGCAGTCCTAATCAAACTCAAATGACCACTGATAACAGCTTCTGTTTCTTACAGATAAATAACCGAAAAAACGGTTGTGAACCACTGAAAAAATTAGGAATTAGTCTGGCTTTGTCTTAATTAAACTGGAATTGGATGTACAACATATTTTACTGTCGTTAAAATCTTTTTTTTGCCGAATAAACAGATCCAGATATGTGGAGTGGGATCGAAAAGTGTATTGTCCGTCTGCCAAACACTTTCCATATTGCAAACTTCTGAATGTACAAGTACTGCTCTAATAAAGGACGGTTTTGACCATATTAATCAAAAAACATATTGAAACATCTTCAGGTTTTAGTTAGTGAGGTTTATCAAAACACAAAATTTCATCTCTTTTATTTTGTGAGCAGGTGTCTTCTCGTCTGGAAATTGTGGGTGGTATAGCCCATAGCTTATGTTGTACTTTGTGTACTTTGTGATTTCAACGGGAACCTAGTAAAAGATGCCTATTTCCTTGAGCTGGACATTATTTTAGTAGATTTATTGAAATAGACAGACAGGTTATAGAATATTTTAATTGACTATGGTTTTGCAGACTGGCAACAAAAACATTGTGGTGTCTTCTGTTCACTAGTATTTGGTTGGCAAAGTCAAAATATGACATAGTATGTATATGATACAGTATGAACACAACCATTCTTGTTTGTGTACGTAAAGGTTTTATTCTTCATCGCCGATTCCTACATTTCCATAAGTCTTTGGTGGTCAACTTTCTGCTTGGCATTCTCGCAGTACGCGGTTGGAGCTGGTTTTTTGAGAAGGCATTCAAGTGAAGTAATCATTTCATCATTATCTTGTCTTGTTTAGTTACTGATATATTCTGGTTTCGTCAGAGGCAGAAGTTATTTTGATTGTCTTTTATTCTTAATATCTGCAAATGAATTCCTTCAATCACTGTGTGAAGTAAGTTTCAAAAGATTCATCCCCAAACTATTCCCCAGACTGTCGAACACAGCTTAGCATGGCCAAAGGCATGATGAGTAAGCTATTTGGTTTGATAAACTTTGTCTACTTCTAAAAAGCAAGTCACCACTGTTGGTATACAAAATAAACAGTCAATACGGTCTATGAAACAGAGAAAAAGAAACGTGAATCACGTACCAAATAGTAACTAGGTGATCGTAAAATGAATCAAAAAACCTAATATCGTTTATGTCAAACAAAAACATTATGATGAGTGAATAAATAAGGCATAGCCACACAAGGTCAAAGGGAGTTAATGTGGTGGTGGATGTCTCATGTTGTCGTTGATGGGTTCGTTTATTTATCACAATGTCCAACCACAACAGATTTTATGCAAAAGAACACTATTACAGTAGATCTGTTTTAACGACTTCTGAATATTTCAGTGAACTGATGAAAGAACTGCGCTTTGATTATCTGTTGACTGAATGCTGAGACACTTCCATGCTGGGATGCTGACGAGTTGCTTCCCTGTGGTCATTTGAAATTCACTAATCCATATATAATAGTGTTTAACGTTTCAGTTTTCATTCCCTGAAGGTCACTGTGTTACGGATTTTTAGATCTTCGAGTATGACCAGAAAAATTCTCCCTCAAATCATGCTGAACAAGTAGCTACCCTTAACATTAATCAATAAAAACTTTAACCCTTTCGTACTTATTGTCTTATTCAGTAAAGTGCTGTCTTATTCACCAATGCAGGAGAATGGGTTTTGAATGGTTGTTACATAATCAAGCTGGAAACAGGACCTAGCTGTACCAATGTACCAACTACATAGAAATCGGGCACAAAGTCAAGGCGTAGAAAAATTGCGGCATTTTGTGAAATTTTTTCAGTGCCAAACTAATACAACAGAAAAGATCAAATGATGACAGTAGTCAACATCTGATAAATCTAACAGTGAAAAATAACTCAGATCAGTGACTCTTTATTTTATTATTATTATTAGCTTTATTCAATATTATATTTTTGGTACAATATAGAATTCTCAGCACAAAGTACTTCAGCACGTTTCCGTTTCTTACTTCTTCGTCCTTCCTGACGATAAATATTGAGTGATCGCCAGTTAGAAGTTAGCAGCCCAGTCAATCTACATTTGAATAATGTACATTCTTCTCGCTGCATATTGACAGCAACCATAATATCTCTGATTAGGCCTTCTGTAACCTTACAGAGAAATGTCTTACACTTTTCAGAAACGCACCTGAATAGGTTGTGCGATTAATAGGCATAGTGATGTATTGAAAATTAAATAACTTGTTGAAATATCTAGATGACAGGAACAGGTAGCCCAGATGCTTAAACCGGCCGCCTGTACTTACAATCTGATTAAGAAGGTAGATGACTTTGAGATACAATGGAAGTGGTTAATCACTTTGTGTACTCCATATATAGGTATGGTTTGACTGTGTTTATTGTGTATTCAGTTGGCTAATAATTCATAATATTATCCAAACAATGAAATTGAACGTGAATTACTATACTATTACAATGCAATACACATATGCAAACATACCCATAAGATTGCTTTTAAATTAATGTTCAGCATCTGTGTTCTTCTGCATCACGTCATCACTTGGATTTATCGCATGGCTAGTAATCACCACGAGTGAGTTTTCTATATAGGCCTTATTTCGCACTCCCTTGAAGGTTTTAGATAATTCCTGAAAAACGAGTATATGGTATTTGTACGAACTGATGATTCCTCTGTACTGGATTGCCCGCTGCTTACGAGTTCTAAATACAGTACGTCCATTTGTGTTCATCTAGTTCTACTAGCAGCAAATTGCACTATTTCAAAATTCCCAATTGATACAATAATTCGAAATCTTCTAATCATCATAGTATATCATATTTATAGTGTAATACTTAACTCCAATTTTCCTTACTGCGAAGCCTGACTCTAGGTGTATGAGGTTTCGATACTATTTAAGTTGAAGCTGTATTTAGGTGAATAAATGGCAGAACGTTTCAATCACTGTACTTTTTATGGATAGTAATCGCGGAGTAGTTGAGATGCCATACGCTTTTAAGCATGATGGACGATCACACAAAATCTCATATTTTGAGTTCGTTTGCCATTTCACTCCTGAATTTTTTTCACGCTAAGATCCCAACAAAGTGTTGAAAACCCTCTTTTGACCACTTATAAACACGTTTAAAACCGTTCGTGATGACTCTCATAATAATGAACCTTTAAGACAACCCTGGCCTTCCCCTTAGTTTGCAGGACAAAAATGACAGGTTGCTCTGGGGAGAATTAAACGAGAGGCTTAAGCCTCCTAGAATACAGCCTTTGACTGTCACACGGCTCACCATCAAAATCAACCGAGGCTACTTCGTGCAACACTCAAGAATCCTACAGGCGTCGGGGATGTCCTGCTAGTTAGTCACTTAATGAAATCCCATGGCAACGTAAGAATACTGCCTGACATACCGTATTCTGGACACGATCTCATCCGGAACATCCCTAAGGAATCTCGAGAGAAGTTTTTCCGCGGAAGAAACATCATTGTGCAAGGTATATCGGAAAACACGGACTTCGGTCAAACGAACTCTGATGTTAGGGAATGGAAATTCATCAAGCATTCCTTGAAGGTCAAAAACATACTCGCTCAACATGTGACTAGACTAGCCAGAAAGGACGGAGGTTCTTGACCCCAGCTGATGAAGTTGACTTTCTCATCCTCCCATATGGCGGTTGCAACTCTGGAAACATTTCATGCTAATAGACGACGGTTTCCAGCTGGAATCTACATGCATTCGAATAGGCCAGATAATGCCAGGATCACGCGCAAAGGCGAGTCGAAGCTGACAATTCCACTTGTGGACTGTCTTGATCTTAAGAAAAACGTGTGAAAAGAACAGACACTACCAACTTGGAAAACCTTGTATAGGTAGGCCACCTGTCCATTTACTTAAGGTTCATAAAGGCAAACAGGAAGAAGCTCACGCGTTTCAAGTTGAAAGCATAAACTGCTTGTACATGAACGTCGTGAGTTTACCAGATAAAATGGATGAGCTAGAAATGCTAATAATTCTCATCTGATAGGAGCATCTGAAACTTGAATATCTTCTCAATTCACGGACTAGGAGCTAGCAATAACTGAGATGTCTTTGTTTCGCAATGACAGAAAAACAGTAATTGGGGGTGGAGTAGCCTTATACATACGATCATGCCTGGAGGTACACCGACTTCACAACCAGGAGTTTATCTGTCTTGATGAATCCGTATGGTGCTCGGTAAGATTGTCTACCACCTCGAAGAGTCTAGTTGGGGTCATCTACAGGAAACCCATTCCTGACATCGAGTATGACAATCGTATGATGGAAGGATTATCCAACTCGACTAGTCTCAGATTCACTCATTTCCCTATTCTAGGGGACTTTAATCTCCCTAGAGTTCATTTAGCGGGAAATACCTATGTTGGAGGTGAAAATTCAACTGAAACTCGGTTCTTGAACCTCATTGAGGATCTGGGATCATTCGAAAATATGAAGTTGGCAACTCGTTGGAGAAACAGTCAAATACCATTGCTCTTAGACTGGGTATTCACAAACGGTTTGGAATGGGGTCAGCAACCCGTAGAACAGAACCTTGCTTAACAATGTTACCAGAATAAAAATACTGAACAGGTTTATAGTTTCCTAATAAATTAGCGGTAACCTAAGAAACAAACAACATGGAGCAGTCATTTATGCATAACAGAA